TCCAAATATCACCCTTGTTGTGTCCTTTCACTTCATAAGTGATGTGTTTCACGTCCCAGAACATCTGAAATGCTGTGTCAGATTTGACAGGCTTCTGTTTTTATGTCGTCGTCTAGCTCAAAAAGGCCTTTCCCTTGCCAAGATCATTTAAAAATTAAATAGCCCCTGTTTTCCTTTAATGCATTTATGTGTTTTTGCCTTATAATATTAGGTTTGCATGGAATTAATCTTGCTCTAATTTTGGCATGGGGATGTGGTTTTTTCCATGTGCCCAGCTGTCATCCCTGGGCCATGTCTCTGGGAGCATCTGATGCCCCATCTCTATTTCTCTTTGAGTGGCCATGTGTTCTTGGGCCCATTTCTGGATTCTCTCTTTTCTCTCACAGATCCATCATTGTCCCTGTGTCATGACCTCCTCTTGAATCATTGTAACTTTAAATGTTCTGGAAAGCTAGTCCCCCCCAAACTTTATTCAAATATGTATTATCTGTCTTAGAGATGTATTTTATTTTCTTAGTTCCTTCAACTCACATGGATATTTTCATATGGAGATGCTTAGTTCTGACTTCATTATATTCGACATCCTCTCTCTCTCTGTGGTGTGTGTGCCATAGTATACTTGAGAAGATCAGAGGACACCTTGCCTCCTTCCACCATGTAGGGCTATGGGATCAAACTCAGGTCAAACTCATCTCTCCTCTAACCCAGCCCTAGCTTGGACTTACCCTTGCTCTGCTTGCCTCAGGACATGTGTCTCAACAAAGTTCCAGCCCCTTCAGGTTCTATAATGCTTGCTGTGTCTGTCCATCAAACAGTCCATAAAAGGCATCAAACAACCCAGGTTAGGGCATGAGTAAGGGACTTGTAGCAGGTGGGAAGTTTCTTTTGAGAAGGTGGCAACTTCATGGATTCTGTTCCCAGTAATGGTTGCTCAGCCTTGGGAATATACTGAAAACCACCCAACTGGAAGCACTGAAACGGCAGATTTTATAGGATGCGAATTCTGTGGTGAAACCACATGTGCTGTTCAGTAGAGGATGGGTTCTTAGCTTACACAGTAGTTCAGACCTTCCCCATCAGGGCAGAAGTGGATGCCCAAAGGAGTTTCCAGGCTCCTAGAGAAAGCCACTGCTAGGCACACTTTCTCTCGATCTTAGTGTGAAAGGCTGTCACGTGTGGAGACCACAGGATCCTTTTGGGAGGTTCCAAAGTCTCCTTCCCTCTGGTCCTTGGCACCCTGCAGCTAAACTGTTCTCAGGAGGCACCGTTTGTCCACTTGGGGATTGCATGGCTTGGTCAAACACAGTGCATTTACTTCACGTCTCAGCTGGGAAGCTTTCTGATGTTGCCAGTGTCTCCACTTATCTGCCTTATGACCCTAATTGAATGTGTCCTGGCCATGTGCAGGGCACTTAGGCTGCTCTGCTCTTGTCTTCTCCAGACAGAGCCTGAGGCTTTCTTTTTAAAATCTTTAAGGTCAGCAAGGAGCCCCAGGGGCACAGGAGCTAGAACTCAGGCTTCCTGATATCAATAGAAGATCATTTGATGCAGCTTGTCAGTGCCTAGTATTTAGCTGACCCACCCTCAGGCTCTGCCTGCTGTTCACCTCAGAGGTAGTTTTCTCTCTTGGAGAGAATCTGATTTTAACTCTTGCCTCATCTTCAGTGTGAGAGGAAAGATCCTTAGTGGTGTCTACAGCTTGGGACTAGTGTCCCTGCAACCATCTGGCCCTGAACAAAGGGTACTGTGGGGTGAGTAGTGTGGAGGAGCCTGGAGCCAGTGGCCTTTGCCCTGGAGCTGCCCCTCAGAAATCTGGCCTCTGACTGACTGTGTTTCCCTGTCATCTTTGGAGAGATTGGAAGTCAGAGCCAAGCAGACCTTTTAGCTATGTGAGAGACATGTGATTGCTCTCATGAATTGGTTTTGGCTGTAGTTTTCGGGAATGAAGAGATGGCAGACACCTATTCCATAAGGCTTCAGTTTGCCCTGTTCCCAGTACCTCCTCATCCCATGTTGAGCAGGTCCTGAGCTGCAGCTGTTGAGAATGGACTTTCTGTTGTTCTCTTTTCAACTCTAGTTCAAAGCCAAATGACTTCTCCCAGACAGCTTGATGCACAGGGGCTGAGTTCAGGGTGAGGCCTGTAACTCCCCAAAGGGGAGTGTAGGTCTGGTATAACAGCCCTAGACAAGGTTGGAGCCAAGCTCACTTGCTGGTTATTCTGGCACGTTTGTTTTGAATGTGATGTGGTGATACAGTCATGAGGGCGAGGATGGGTCTGCCGGGCAGGGAGCCGATTCTGTCCTAACCGGTTGTGACTTCATGGGACATCCTGTGCTAGCCTGGCGAGTGGATGAAGAACAAATGAGTTGCTAACCATGTGTAGTGTGGGGATGCCAGGACTTGAGCCTGCAGGCCTCTCTTACTTAGGTCAGGGCAACACAGGCCCTGTCACACTCTAGTTCCAGGATCAGCCATTAGGAACAATCAGGGGAGGACCGTCGGGGCTCACAAGAGTCTCAAGGACTCACTACTGCCGCCTCTCAGGTCACACGTACAGCGTCCACTTCCCTGATGCTTCATGATTCCACAAGCCTCTTCCTGCTTTGCTGCTCAGCACTGAGGTGGGCTGGTCCCTGTGGTGGGTTTTCTGGTGTGACTGGAGATGAGGGAGGAGCCTGTGGGAACTCCTGTCAGAGCAATATGCATATGACATTGGATGCTGTGTAAAGACCAGGTGCAACTAACACTTCTCACTCAGGTGGGAGAGTTCTGAGGGAAGTTTATGAGGTGTAGAGCCAGTTTCTGCCTGCGACTTCTCTATGGAAACCCTGTTTTTGAGGGACAGTGGTCTCTCCAGTTCCGTGAAGTGGGCACCCTCAAACAGAACCTTTCCTCCCTCCACACCCTGGTTGTTGTTTTATTTTGAGACACGGCTTTCCATGTAGTCCTAGGTGTCCTAGAGCTCCCTTTGTAGAGCAGACTGGCCTTTCACTTACAGAGATGCTCCTGCCTCTGCCTCCTGAGTGCTAGGATTAAAGGCATTTGCTAGCACACCCAGATAGGACTTTTTCTTTGGGTGGCCAGCCATGCTCTGGAGCACATCCTGCCTGCCACAATGGAGCTAGGTTATGGGGAAAATGAGGTGGTTCCTGCTTGCTGGGGACTTATTATAGTGTGGGGAGGCCAGCAGGCCAGCCAGGGTGGAGAACAGGAAGATGGGATTTGCATGGAGCCATGTTACTGAAGTCACTCTGGAAAAGCTGTCTGGAAAAAAGTCTGTTCACAGCCACATGACACAGTGTGTCACTTGAGCCTCCACATTCTGAGTATACAGGATGGGAACAGTGGCTTCTTACAGGGCTTTAAGGGGTTTGAACCTTGCAAAGTTCAGCTAACAAGCTGTAAGTTCAAACCAACACCTTGTTTTGTGCTTTCTAATCCAATGCACTTTTGCTTGAGAATCATGATGAGTTTGCCAATGGCCTTGCTGCCCATGGAAAACAAGGTCCTTGTGTTTCTTAGTCCTGTGTGAGACTGGCACCCCCTTTCAGGTAGTAGGTCAGGCTGCTCGCTGGCACTGAGGAGTCTGTCGGTGTCCCTGCTTGGAGTTCTAACTGGAGTCAGGTACATTAGGAGTCCTTGGGTCCTAGCTGGGCCCTCAGAGCTGTCTTCTTTGACTAGAAACAAAAGGGTGTCTGTGGGCCAAGGTCAAGCGGAGTGTCTGGCTGACAGGTTCAGTCAGCAGTGATGTACATGAGGGTCTTCTGGTTTGGTCTTTACCATTTAACATTTCATCTTAATAAAATCTTAGGCAAAAATCAATTTCCTTCTTATCTATAGGATATCTCCCCTAATGATGGACTGCAGCCCTCCAGGACAGTGCTGAGTTAGAGAGTGGCAGCTACCTTGTCAAATGGGATCTGGCCTCAGAGTTCCCATAGAACAGTCCCTTCAGTTTCATTTTGTTTCTCTGATCCTGAGGCCATATGCCAGTGGCTGTTTGTCCTGCTGTTATTTTTCTCACAGTTTGCATTTATACAATCATGGACCTTGATTCCAACTGATACTGAGGCAAAGTCAACATGATTTCTATTACCCAGCCCATCCTGGTTTGCAGAGTGTGGGAGGTCTACCACAGACTTTCTGGGGTCAGGTTTTAATCCTGTCTGCTTTGGAGAGTGTGACCAGCTGCAGGTTCAGGGTTCTCAGAACTGTATCTTATGATGTTCTTAGCAAGCCATGTCACAGACCAAACGCCATTCTTTCCCCCAAGACACTTCCATGGCAACAGGACTCATATTTTCATTGCTTTTGCTGTAAGCTGGAGGTGTACTGAGCATATGGCTGTCAGTAAATGTTTGCCCAATCAGATTATACTGAGTGACTGTTTGGCCTCTGCATATCACTAGGTGTGATGGAAATGATTTCCAGGAACAAATGATTGCTCTCTACTGTCATTTCCCAGAATCCTAGTTCTGGCATGATTCTGTTTTGCATTTTGATCATAGACCCCATTAACCTGAAATTCCTGTTGTGTTAGAGGCTCAGACTTCTGACAGCTTCTCTTAGGGTCTAATGGCTTCGTGTCTTATCCTTAAAGGGACAGAATCATGCCTGCCTAGACCAGCACGTGTGGACCACTCACCATGCACAGCTGGCATACACAGAGACGGTGCAGAACAAAGCAGCTCTTACTGTTTGAGGGCAAGGCTTGGCATCAAGTCTAGCATGTCTCATTTCAGGGAAAAAATACTGAAATTAAGACATTGAAAAGTGGTCTCCTGTGTAGAGATCGTCCTAGTAATGAGCAGAAGAGCTGAAGTGGACAGATCTCTTGCATACTCATATGGCTTATCTTGATGGGCCTTTTGTTCAGTGCTGGCCATGTTCAAGGCAACAATGAACTTCTGGTCCATTGTCTCCCCTTGGACAGCCATTAAGTCTTGGGCATGAAGAATCTGTCAGTCACAGTTTTACCATGAAAAATGACCAAGTAGTGTTTTTTGTTTTTAGTTTTTATTTTATTTTTTTAAGATAGGAAGATGTTCACAGTTAATTGAGAAAAACAGGGCATGGAGCAGTAGATGTTACATAGTCCTCTTTGTGTGACAAAGCCTTGTGTGCACACAGACATGTGTGTAAAGTTACAAGGGAAAATAACTGTGGGCTTTGGCTGGTGTCCACTGCTTCCTTTTCACTTGTTCCTAGTTGCCCGAATTCTTCAATGGCTGTGCCTTTTGTAAGAATTTCAGAGGTGAGAACACATATGCAAATGCCCAGACCACATGGGTGGCCATTACTGGACTCCCACCGCTGGGGATTGTCTCTGTCGGTCCACAAGTAATGCTGTCACCAGACTCAGAAGTGAGATGTAGCCACTGATAGAGAAATGGTTTCCATTTCTGAAGTGTCTCGGCAGCTTTCTGGAATGGATAAGCCATGTGGGGTCCAGACTGAAACCGGATATTAGCTGCATGGGTGCAGGCCCCAGACTTCATCTCATCTTCTCGAACCATCGCTTCAGTGTCTGTGATTATTAGTTTTTCTGACATGTGACTTGTAGAAGAGCTGATAAGGTATCCTTTTCATAAATCCACAGGCATTGTTTTCTTGCCAGCAAGTATCTCTTATCTCATTGGAACCAATATTTTTGGGATACTGGCACACAAAATGGGAAGGTAAGATTAAATGAAAGCATTCATTCTATTGTTTTGATATAATGTGGTTCTTTGAAGAAATTCAGTGTTTCTGTCTTAGCTATTACAAATAACTGCTATGATTTTCACTGAAGATGTGTCTTAGGAAAAACACCCTAAGTGTTCATTTATTGATGTGCTTTTTCTTTTGATAGGTGGCTTTGTGCTCTTCTGGGAATGATAATTGTTGGAATCAGCATTTTATGTGTGAGTGAAAGATTGAATTTGACAGGCAGTTGGGGGAGTGGGAACATATGGGACTGAAACTCTTGTTTTGGGTGAGACTCACCAGGCAACATTTTATAACAGTTTGAGTTTGCTAATATTTGGTTTTATTATGTTTTTCATTTATTTTTTTCAATTTTTAAAAGTCACTTCAAACATTTCTGGAAAGACTCAAGTGGGCATATCATTTAACTTTAGATCAGATGTTATTTAAGCAAATTTATTATGTAGTTTACCAAGTTATTTTTCTATTTTTTTTTTAATTTTGTGATTTTTTTTGTAGTTTTCTTAAGGTCTCATTATGTAACCCAGGCCAGCCTAGAACTGACGACAATCCTCTTTGCCTCACTCTTGCAAATGCGAGGTTACAGGCATGAACCACTAAACATGACAAGTGTCTCAAATACTTTATGGCAGCTACTCTCTGAACAATAGCAAGATGTTACTCTAGAATAAACATATTTTAGTGGCCAATATCTCCCCAAATATGGTCATCTTCTCTTTGTCAAGAGAGTGGATGAAGCCATCTTTCTAAGGAGCCATGTAATTAAGTTTTCACAGTAGTCAGAATTTACATTTCAGGCTTTGACATACATCTATTGATTGGTTGCACTGGAGATTGAACCCAGGGTGTCATGCATGGTAGGCAAACACTTTACCACTAAACTACACCCTCAATCTGGGCTTTGGATTTTAAAGATTAGGATGGCAACCCCCTTTCTTTCTCTGCTCTCATTTCTTTCAAAAGGGAACAGGTCCATTAGGCCCAGATAAAAGATATTTTTAGGCTTTCTTTTGAAGATGATTTATTAGAGTCAATATCTTTTATTTTAGCATATTAACTTCCTCTTACAGATTCCTTTTGCAAAAAATATCTATGGACTCATCGCTCCCAACTTTGGAGTTGGTTTTGCAATTGGTAAGTCACATGGGCCGTGTGCCTCAATTTGGAGCTGCAGTCTCTCTAGCGGAGATTCTCTTCTTGAGGAGTGTACAGCCTATAGATAGGTACCAAAGCTCAGATTTCCCGAAGCTGAAGTGGAGGGCGCAATGAGATTAGCTCAGGGACAACCCATAGTCTAGATCCACGAAGATGCTTGTTGAAAGTCAGGTGGTGTTGGCAGAAGCAGACTGGTGCTTCACTGCCGTACTCCAGCAAACTAACGCTTCCTTATCTGTAGCACATTCAATTTAGTTCACATCTAAGAGCAACCTTCCCAAATGCGACTAGGGACAGACTTCCCATGTGCTTTTCTTATGAGGCTTGGTAAAGAAAATACAGGCTGGTGAGGTACCATGCTGTGCACCGCAGGGATTTTCAGAGGCAAAGGAAAATAAAACATTAGGGAAAGTCTGGACTAATGGTATGCTTTTGTTTCTCACTTATAAAATACTGATTAACATGATGAAAGTAAAGGCCAAATCTGTTACGCAGTAGTGTCAGGAATTTGGTCTTGGAGTGGTATAGCAGAAAGAATGAACGGGATATCTTCTGACCCTCTACAGGAGGTTGGGCAGCCCTGGCATCTTATGCCTCCTGGGGGACCTCCACACCAGTCCCGCTGTAATTCATTCTTTAGCTCTGTGCTTAATATCCACCTCTCAGGTTTTGCTCCACTCTCTCTGCAGCAGGCTGTGCACATCAGATGATCACAAATACTAAACAAATGAAAACTATTTCTCTCATCCACCGGCTGCTGTGCGCCAGCCCCTCAGCATGTGTTCACAGGCATCAGTTCACTACACTCAAGTCACCAAAACCACTTTCAAAGCACCCCATTTAGACAGGGGGAAGCAGTGTTCTGAAGCTAGGTATGACCATGCTCAAAGCTAGGATTTGCACCTGGAACTCTGAACACACGTGATCTTTCCAAGCCTTGTCCTTTGCTAGTCAAGAAGCCACAGCTTGTCATGCTGGTCTCAATTGTTGTTTTAGCCAACTAAGGAGCCAAGCTCTTCAGGTTTTAGTTTTGTGAGCAGGAAGAGATGCTCTCTCACCCTCCACTGAGTACTAGTATTTCAGTACTTTCCAGCTTGGTAACTCTCATGGTCTAAGGCCTGGTGTTGGAGGTGGGTGGAAAGTGGGGAAGAGGTTGACTGATTATGTATGTGTGCTAACTGGCAAGGGAAAAGTGATTGGAAAAATAGTGGATCAGGGAGGCATCAGCTATAGGCCAGGTTCCAGTGGCCTGTAATACCCTACACTTGGAGAACAGTAATAGGTGAGTGGCCAGAGGACTGGGTACCTTCCCCTTACCCAAAAGATGGCCCATTACAAGAGATTATAAGGTGAGGTCAGACAGCCTACAAATGCTTACCTAATAAGGACTCAGAATCCTGAGTTCCACTCTTTTCTGAACCCTACTGCTTACTATCCACAATGAAAGGTCTGTTGTCAGGGGTCTGTTACAGATGAGCAAGTGGCAATGGCAGAGGGGAAGAGCTGGCAATGGACTGAGTTTAGGACACAGTCTCCAACATTCAACCTGCTTCTGTTTCATACCACTTTTCCATACACTGTTCCTTGACTATCTACAGGGATGGTGGATTCCTCCATGATGCCTATCATGGGTTACCTGGTTGACCTACGGCACGTGTCTGTTTATGGAAGTGTATATGCCATTGCGGATGTGGCCTTTTGTATGGGGTATGCTATTGGTAAGACAACCTTTACCTCAATGCAGGAGAGATAAAACCTCCTACAAATACAGAAATCTTTACATTTTCTCACAATAAGACACTTGGAGAAAGTGCTGATTTTCTGTTTCCCCAAAGGTCCCTCTGCTGGTGGTGCCATCGCAAAGGCAATCGGCTTTCCTTGGCTCATGACAATTATCGGGATAATTGATATTGTTTTTGCTCCACTCTGCTTTTTTCTTCGAAGTCCACCTGCTAAGGAAGAAAAAATGGTAAGAAATCTGTTTTTAATCATTTTGGTATGGCCATCTGGATAGTTTCTGCATAGCTCAATTCTACTACATTCTATATTTCTGCTCCTTTCCAATAGAAGCCTCCAAACAAAAGCAGTGAGAGTTCCTTTTTAGTAACTAACACAGTAACTTCTTTTATTCATGTTATTTTAACAGTTGCTTCTTTTAAGCTTCATGTTCATGACCCGGAGGATGAAATTATTTTCATATTTAGATTAATGGTTTATAATTCTTGCCAATCAAATATAACCCTGGGACAATTCAATCTAGTTGGCTATGGTTCTTGAAAATCCTCCTGCTTCCCAGGATATGGTGCCAGTTGCTTTTCTTCTATCCTTATAGCACTCAGTGATAGTTGGTGTCTTGGTCCTCACCAGGCATAAGAATCTGGAGATGTTTTTAGGAGTCTGTGAAAGATGATCATATTTACACCCTGGGGCACATATGTGAGCACAAAGAAATATTTAGTTCTTATCTTCATGACCAGAATCATGGTCATGGGCAAGCTATAGAGAATAAAGTTCTTTTTAGAACAAGTTCAAATTATTGGCTCTAAATCTGAAGTGGGAGATGTATAAGTCTTGTGCCCTTTCTAAGGTGTTGATCTTACCCAACAAAAAGAGCTCACTGCTGCTCATCGTCTGTCCTGGCAGTGGTGCCCCAGACTAAAGTAAAGTATCAGATGCTAGTATTGTTTAGCTGAAAGGAGACTGTCTGGACTAGGGATGAAGGAAAAGCCCACAGGAAGTGGTAGTGTTGTGTTCAGGGACAGATCTAAGGCTTCTTTGTCGTGTTCTTTTGGAGTAGATCAGACAAGATTTCTATAGGTTTCCTCTCTCTGATATTGTCGATTGAATCTAGGGCTTTGTGTGTGCCAGGGAAAGCATTCTACTATTGATTTCTAGCCCTCTTTTTACCTTTACAAATGTTTTATCTTGAGACAGGGTCTCATTAAGTTGCCCAGGTTGGCCTTGAACTTACTCTGTGGGAGACCAGACAGGTTAGGATCTTCCCGCTTCAGTTTCAGGAGTAGTTGGCATTACAGGCCTGTGCCACTAAGTCCAGCACAGAAGTACTTTCTGACATGTACTACTCTTGATGGTTTCCTCCAAAAGCAAATTTAAAAACAGACAGAACAAAAATTTAGGTTGTGTAACCTATGTTTATCTGAGGCATTTTACATTCACCTATCCATGTACTGTATCTTAAAAACACATTGGTCTCTGGCCACTGACTTTGTGCCCTGAACTATTCAGGATTTAACTAGACTTCATTTCTCATGTCTGGGCTCCTAGGAAAGGAGGGGGTGCTGTGGAGATCCTTGGGTGGAAGGAAGCACCACCCCTTCTCTGACTTCCTGCTTCCAGCCTGGTTGTGTCCATCTCTGCGGCACCTCTGTTTGGCTGACCCTTCAGAGTGGATAGAAGACTCTCCACACAGCAGTGGAAAGCTGTCCTTCTGTGGCCACATTATCAATAATTTGATTAAGGTTGAATGAAGGTTACTCCCAATCCTTTTTGACCAAAGAAATTGAATTATCAGTAAATGTTTCTGTCACCCAGGAGACAGTTAAGACTCTTAGGGACAGTGAAGGGCTAGCATGGCCTGAGGGCAGCTGTGCTGGCTCCCCACAGGAATCTGCAATTCTCCGTTTCCTCTACTGCACTGGGAAATGATAGCACTTCACAGGAGTGTTGTGAGAGTTAGATGAGTCTCAGCAGTAACTGTCTCCAATGTCACCCACGAACCCTTCCTGTGGTATTGAAAGCACTGTTCTACTCTGCTCACCTGTGGTGATATAGTGTACCCTAATAAAACTTGCCTTAAGGATAAAAGGACAGAGCCAGCCACTAGATTAGACATAGAGGGCAGACAGTAGTGGCATACATCCTTAATCCCACCACTTGAGTTCAAGGCCACACTGGAAACAGAGCCAGGCAGTGGTGGCACACGCCTTTAACCCCAGTACTGGGAAGCACACACACCTTTACTCCCAGGAAGTGACGGCGGGGCAGAGAAAGGTATATAAGGCATGAGGAAACAGGAACTAAAGCAGTTCAGCTGAGATCCTTTCGGGTGAGGACTCAGTAGCTTTCAGTCTGAGGAAACAGGATCAGCTGAGGAGTTGGCCAGGTGAGGTTGGCTGTGGCTTCTCCGATCTTTCAGCTTTTAGATATCTGGCTCTGTGTTTTTTATTATAAGACCATCTAAGATTCAAACAACACTCACCCAGGAGCACCCAAACATCTTTGCTCTTCAAGGCAAGAGCTTTCTTTTGCTACTCAGACACTGATGGGTGGATATCCGTGCTGGATAGACAAGAGGGTAGACGTTAGTGGCTGTTGTGTTATCTATCTGTGGCTTCCAACATGAGCTAGTAGAGGAAATGAAAGAGGTTAGAAGACTAGCTGAGGAGATGCTGGAGGTGGGAAGTATTTGTCTAGCCAATCACCACAGTGTTTTGAAAAATGATGGTAGAAAGAAAGCCAGTTTTTCTTCATTTAAACCAGTGCTTTAGTTCATTTAAAAAACTACTGAAGGAGGTGGAGGAGACAATTCTAAAAGGTAATGCAGTAAGTATTACAGGTTTCCAGAGTCACTTCACTGTAAAATGTCAAATCCTTAACAAGTGCCCATTGAGATAAATCATTAAATCTTAAGATGTGCATTTGTCTATAATTAATGTCCATAATTGGAGGAATGCCATTTGACAGGCACAGTGCTAGCATCTGAGGTGGTGCCCAGCAGCTGACGCTTGTTGATTGCGCAAGCAGATCTGAAAAGTGGGTGGAAGCCAATAGCCTCTAACGATAAGGGGGCCGTGGCAGTATGTGTGCCATAAGGGAGAATAGATCACCACCCACTTGAGAAACCCCAGCACACACAAGTGCTGATCACACAATGCAAGATCATGAGCCACCAAGTGTCAGAAACATGGGGGCCAGAAGGCATTCCACCCCAAGCAAAGAATTCTTTCATTAAGTACTTCCTGCAGGTACTCAGCCTGCAGCTCTGTGTGAGAGAGTAGTGGCCTATGCAATGGTGTTTTATAAGTCACAGCAGGCTGTGAATAGGTTGTGAGCACTACAGCTTTCCTTCCATTCTTATTTCTGCTTTTAAAAATAATGTTACTGATAAAGGCAAAGGGGAAAATCCTCTATTGCTCAGTCTCTGTAAACGTGTAAGGCAAATCAACACTGACATTTGAGGAAAACTGATCCCATAATAAGACAATGACACAGGACCCTGACTTCTCAAAACACCTGAGTGAGGATAGCTGAGTTCTGAGACGGGTCTTGGTTTTCAAGTTTAAAAATTATTTTTTTTAAAGGTAGGATGTGCCAAGTTTCTGTTGCCAAGGCAGGAAAGGAAGTGGACTGCGGACAGCAGACACCTTTAAGTGTATGGCTGTATAAAGTCCTTCTTAGACCCCAGTTCAGTGCTGAGGAGATAGTTCAGTAGATAAAAGTACTTGCCACTGAGGATCCAAATTCAGATCCCCAGCACCCATGGAAATGTCAGGCAGATGTGGTGGCCCACCTATAACTTCAGCAAGGAAGGCAGAGCAGAGGATCACTGGAACAAGCTGGCTGGGCTATACTAGCCAAATTGGCAAGCTCTGGGTTCAAGTGAGAGACAATTCCTCAATATATAAAGTGAAGCATTAAGATATTCATTGTCAACCTCTAGCCTTTACAAGTGCACACACACACACATGCACCCACACATGTGAAAGTTTACTCACATATGCATGCACACCACCCCATCACACATAAAACACACTTAAAAAGGATTCTTGTCCATGGGCTAAGAAAAGATGGGGTGTCTAGTGGCAGATGAGAATATACATGGTGTACATTATAATCTACTTGTAGACCCCTGTCCCTTTTCTGGGTACTTACATAGTGTACACAGGGAACAAAACTTTCCTACTAGAATGCATGTCTTCTAAAGCCTGAGATTGGAGCACCTACCTTCCTTCTAAGTGCATTTGCTGATTCATCAGCCCAGCACTGAATTTTTATATTTTTATTACTTTTCTACTTCATTTGGTCTGATTTTTTTTTCTTTTTTTTTTTTTTTTTTTTTTTTTTTTTTTACCACTGTGGAGAACCCAGCTTTGCTCTGGGTGCAGTGATGGGAGCTAGGTATTAGCAGGGGCTAATGTATCTGGGCTTTGCTGCGCCTTTGGTGGCAACCCCTCCTCTCTCCAGTTCTGTTCCACAGTGGTGTTTGGAGTGCTAGCCTAAATCCCCTGCCTGCTTCATGAGCCACTGGGCACCTGCCCCTCACGGACTTACTGCTCTGCTGTGCACTTCTCTTTTCACAGCACACTATCTGGCATATTTAACCATGTAGATAATTTTTTTTAAAAAAGTAAAACTACTGCCCAGTAAAGCTTTTGGGAGAGGACATGAAGCCAGGTTGTAGAAGCCATAAAACAATATTCATGAAAGCTACCTGAAACACAGGCTATCGGTTGAATTGAAAAATTCTGATCACTTATATATTCATGATAGAAATAATCAGTCGTAATAAACCCTGCAGTACATGGCTGTATGTGTGGGCACACATGAAATGTGCATGTTCAAGTGCCCATGCATGTAGAGGCCCAAGGAAACTTTGGGTGTTGTTCCTCAGGGGCTATCTACCTTGGGTTTTGAGTCTCTTGCTGGCTTAGAGCTCACTAAGTAGGTGAATCTGGTTGGCTGTTTCATCTCTCTAGTGCAGGGGAAACAAGTGTGCAACATCACACCTGAGTTTTTAAAATGTGGGCTTTAGAGATTGAGCTCAGGTCCTCATGCCTTCCAGGCAAGCACTTTCTTTACCCATTAAGCTATCTCCCTAATCACAGTGCAGCTTTTTAAGACAGGGTCTTACTATGTAGCCCCGACTCGTCTAGGACTCTGTGTAAAGCAGGCTGGCCTCAAACTCATAGAGCTCCATCTGCCATGCCTCCTGAGCGCTGAGATGGAAGGTATGTGCCACAACACCCAGCAACTGCCAGAACAGTTTTTATTGAGTATACACTCTATGCTCCAGTCCTGGAGTTCTAAAGATTACCTATAAAAGTGAATGGTGAGTGGAGAAATGAAGGTGGTTGTGAATAAGGCAATGCTGGCCACTCTTTTTGACGTGGCCTTGCTGCCTGTGGGCCAAGTAAAGGCCAAGGCTCATGCCTGGTGCTCCTGGCTTTGGTGGAGCTTTCTAAAGTGTCTCCATTGCCTCCTAAGAACTCTGGTGGCCATGCTGATTTAGTGTGTTTTACCTACTACCCTCCATAATCTATGATTTGCTCATTCAAACCTGTCTTCTGCAAATCCTCCCATCTTCCAGGATTCACCTAAGCTTCCATCTCCTCTGCAGAACTTTTGCTAACCCTTAACCTCAAGTGAGTCCTCCGCTTGTGACCCTGGGGGAACTGTCCATACCTTTGGAGTTTCGTCTTTGGTATAGGACCTTCAGGGTAAGGTCACATACATAGTAGGTGCTCTAGAAATCCATGTCAGCTGATGACTGCTATAGCCTTACATAATGTATTGTAACCAAGGCAGTGTTCTGGAGGTTGCTGATAGCACTGTCACTGTGGAGGTAGGAACCTGGGATCTCATTTTTAAGCTGCTTCACTCTACCCCCAAACCATCTCCAAAGTGATCTTTGGGTACATAATCTGGGGAGATACCTTTAGCTATCCCTTTGTGTAACACAGGGAGAATGGTTCAAATATACAATGTCTGTTGCTTCAACTATTTTAGTAATCAAACCCTGTAAGTACAATTATCAGTTCACTCAGCAAGTAGCATAATTGGAAATGGAGTTGAGTTTGAAGCTGGCAGTTTGAGATGACAGCCTGACTAGGGTCACAAAGTCCTTATCTTTGTATCATACAGCAGATCAGATGAAAATCTCTTGGGAAATGATAAAAGGGTTAAGCACGGAATGGAGCCTTATCATATCTGCAGGACAAGAGCTGGGTATAACAGACACCAAGGTAGACTGCCACAGGCAGGATCAGAACATTTTAATCCACTCAGATTTGCAGACTGCGTGTACGTGCACACACACATCTTATGGGAATGGTTCCTATAAAGGAGGGAGACTAAGACATACCTGATTCATGTGGCTTGCACACTGCATTTCTCCGTCTGCCATGGGATGCTTAAAAAAAGTCGAATTTGTCTTGGGGCTGCCTGGGCTTCTTCCTCTGCACCATTACGGCTACACTGTTGCTCTCTACCACCAGTTCTGATCTGTAGACTCAACCAATTTGAATTCAAAATGTCTAAAAACAATTATCTGTACTAACTTGTACATTTTTAATCATCCTCTAGTTACACTACTCACATTGTATTGTGTTGGGTACTGTCAAGCTGAATTGAAATATACATGGAGATATGGTCTATGCAAATACACTATTCTACATCAAAGACTTGATCATCTGTAGATTTTGGTGGCTGGGGGTGTATACACTTTGGTCAAGTTCTTTAAGCCTGGGTGCCCATTTTCTCAATTTCCCATCCAGGCTTATTGTGAAGCTACGGCTTTCATCTACTTGTAGCCATGTTCCTGACAGGATGTCAGCTGTATTATCAGATTACTGCTTGGTTCAGCACACTGTCAGCAGGAATAAGGACTACAAGTACTTATTGTTGAGAGTGCTTTAAAAAAAAAAGCATCATTTTTGTTTTCCTTTTGCAGTTGTACTTATTTTTGGTTTAATTTTCAGAAATAAAAAAGGGCAGAGGACTTTTATGTGTATATTTGTGCTAAAAGAGGGCAGCTAGGATCTGGAGAGAGATGGTCTGAACATAACATTTGTGAACAAAGCCCTGGAATGTTTAACCTGGGAAACTATCTAAAAGGCCAAGGCAAAATGTGGCCTGAACATATTGTAAAACAATCTGTATAGATGGTTACCATCAGAACAAGATCCACAATTGGAAATAATAGAGTGGATTTCAGTTCAGACTTCCTTCTATTTCCAACAAGAATTCCATTTAAACATCTTCAT